AATGGTGACAGTGGGGTACTGAAGTCCCCTACTATTAATGAGTTGGGATTAATCTGGGTCTTAAAGTCCTGTAGTATTGTTTTTATGAAGTTGGGTGCACCAGAGTTTGGTGAACATATGTTCATGATTGTAATATTGTCTTGATTTATTGTTCCTTTGATCAGAATGAAGTGACCCTCTTTATCTCTTCTGATTAGTTTTAAAATCTATTTTGTCAGATAGTGCCATTTGCTTGGTATATTTTTTTCCATCCTTTCACTTTGAGATAGTGTCTGTCCTTGAAAGTGAGATGAGCTTCTTACAGACAACAAAAAGATGGGTTTTTTTGTGTTAATCCATTCACCTAGTCCGTGTCTTTTGACTGGGGAGTTCAGTCCGTTAATATTTAAATTTATTAGTGAAAGATGGGTATTGAATCCGGTTATTTTTATTTCTGCTTACATTCTTGATATAGCTGTACCTTTTCACAGTTATAACTTCATTGGACTTCTTTCTGCAATCCCTTGGGTATAGTCATTCCTTTTTTCAGCTCTTTGTATTGCTTCCAGAACTCTCTGAATGGCTGGTTTTGTGGACATGAATTCCTTCAGCCTATTTATATCATGGAAGATTTTTCTTTCCCCTTCGACTATAATAGACATTTTGGCTGGGTATAGTAATCTGGGTTGGCATCTGTGGTCATTTAAAACTGGGACTACTTTGGTCCAGGCTCTTCTGGCTTTTATAGTTTGCACTGAAAAGTCAGCTGTAATCTTAATGGATTTTCCTTTATATGCGACTTGTTTCTCTTTTGCAGCTTTAAGTATTGTCTCTTTGTTTTGTACGTGTATTTACTATGATGTGCCGTGGAGAGTTTCTTTTTTAGTCCTGTCTGTTTAGTGTTCTATATGCTTCTTGTATTTGTATGGGCATGTCTTTCTTTAATTTTGGGAAATTTTCTTCCATGATTCTGTTGAAGATCTGGTCCATGCCATTATCTTGGGATTCTTCTCCTTCCTGTATGCCTATAATTCGTAAGTTTGGTCTTTTTATGGTATCACTCAATTCCTGCATTTTCTTAAATTTTTCATAATCTTTGCTTAAGTGGTCTAATTTGTCCACTTTTTATATTCCAGTCTTCGTACTCTTTTCCATTTCATTCATGCTATTGGTGAGACTTTCTCCTGTCATTTCTAATTGACTTACTGAGTGTTTCACTTCCTTCTTCATTTCAGCCTGAGTATTCTTCAATATTTCTAACTCTTTTCTGAATGCATCCAGAAGTTTATCCCTATCTTCCTTCAGTTCTTTGATTTTTTTGTGTGTTCTTTAAATTCACTGAATTCTTTTATCATGCTTATAATTGTTATTTTTAGTTCCATGTCCTACATTATCTCTAGGGGGTTTTCATTGTATTCCTCTAGAGGACTATTGGTATTTGGTGGGGATATGTTATTTTGGGTTTTCATGTTATTTTTTTCTCTGTGATTTTGACATGTGAATTTCTTTTGTAGTTTCTGATTCTTGTATGAGACTCAGGTCTTCAAGTCTAGGCCTGCTTCTTGTGAACTTTATGTGTCTTTGTGGTTTACTTTTTGGTCATGAAAAGCTGGTTCATCTAAGCTTCTGGTTCTCTCTTTTGATTTTATATTGGAGTGGCCGGATTGCTTTTGTCTTCAGGAGTTCCCACAGAGGCCCAATTCAGGTGAGGGTCAGATGTTTTCAGGCTTTCTCCTAGGGTCTAGATCCCTCCAGGAACGATTTTGGCCTCAGGAATTTGGGGGTTGGACTGGCCTGGGAGCCTGGCCCAGGAAAAATGTGATCTAGGGTAGCTGGTGGCCATGCCACCCAGAGATGCAAAGGCAGATGTGGCGGGAAGAGGCCCCAAGGCCTCCTGGGGACTGCACTGAGGAGCTGGGTTGGTCTGGATGCAAAGGATCAAGAAGAGGAAATGTCAGCCCGAGTGTCCCAGAAAGAGACTGGCAGGTGGTGCAGTCCCAGGGAAGTGGAGGGAGGGTGGAGCCAGCCCCAGAAGCAGAGCTCCTGGGTCCCAGAGAAGGCACTCCATTGGTCTGGATGAAAAGGATCAGGGAGCAGTGTTGGTTCCTCAGGTGTCTGGGGCCCCAAGACAGGGAATGGGGCAGAGGCCAAACTTGGAGGAGAGAATGGTGGTGGAGATGGGAGGGTGAATGGGGCTGGGGGAGTCAAGGCCCGGAGGGCGCAGTGGTCTTACCCCAGAGAGAGGCCTGCGGGTAGGAGAGAGGCCTGCAGCAGGTCCTGCAGGCCCAGGGAAGCAGAGGGCATAAAATAAAAAACATTTTAAAAGGAAAAAGAAAGTCTGCAGCTGTGTACCAAATGTAAACATAACAGGAGTACATGGAGTCTTTCCTTTTATTGGTGTATATTTGTAAAAAAGAAAACGATAATTTCATTATGACATTTTCATACATGTATACAATGTACTTCAACAATGTTCACTCCCTAAGTTCCCTCTTTTGCCCCCTATTCCTTCCTCCAAAGAGTTGGACTTCTAATTTCACATCTTTCATTGTTGTTTAATCTAGAGTCTTCATGGGAGAAAACATGTTGTCTAAGTCTGGCAGTTGACAGGAACATTATGTTGAAAATCCAACAAAAACAACAAAATTCTAGAATGAATAATATACCCAAACTGCAGAATATAAGGTTAATATGCCAAAGTCAATTGCTTTCCTCAATAAGAAGAATTTTAAATTAAAAATGCACCACCACTTACTTTAGCATCCTAGACATAAAAACTTAGGCATAAATCCAATAATGTATATAAGATCTACATGAAGATAATTATGACACTTTAATGACATTCATTAGCAAACTAAATGGAATAATATTCCACATTGATAGTAAAAAAAAAAAAAATTTCAAAACGTTAGTTCTTCTCAACTTGTTCTGTAGATTCAATAAAATGCCAAATAATGATCTCAAGTTATTTTGTGGCTACTGACAGACTGCTTCTAATAGTTTTTGTAGGTTGACAAAAGTCTCAGAACACCAAATTCAACACTAAAAGGAAGAAGCTGTGTACAGTTGTACACACCTATCATCCCAGTGCTGAGGAGACTGATACAGGAAGATCACCAGTGGAGAGCAGCCCGGGCAACATGACAAAGGCCTCAAACAAACAAAAGACTGACTATTCAACTTTGAATTACTATAAAACTAAAATGATTAAGACAATATGGCACTGACAAAGTAATAAGTTAAATATACCAATCAAACAGAATACAGAATTCATAAAAAGACACACAAATACAGCCAACTGAACTTAAAAAAAAAAAAAAAGCCACACACATAGCAGTAAAACCAAGGCAATGAACCAAAGAAGATACCAGAGCAGGCACGTGTACACGTACGTACACACACACACACACACACACACACACACACACACAATCCTTCACCAAAACTGAAAGATGGGTCATAGATATAAACAGAAAATGCAGGGGGTGGAGAGATGACTCAGCAGTTAGGAACACTGGTTGTTCCTGCAGAAGACCTAGGTTCGAATTCCAGCACCCACATGGCAACTAACAACTGTCTGTAACTCCAGTCCCAGGGGATCTGACAGCCTCTTCTGACCTCCACGGGCATTGCATTACACGGGTGCACTTACCTACATGCAAGCAATACACACATACACATAAAATTTTAAAATTAAAAAAAAACACCAGAAAATACAAAACCACAAAATTCCTAAAACATAACCAGATGATTTCCAGATATAAACTCCCAACTATAGTTCACAAAATTTAAATGTATTTATTGACAAATATTTAAGTAGGCAAGTTCATTTATATGAAACAAAAATGAAAAAAAAACCCCACTATTTGTGGTTATTACATATTTGAAATTGAGTTCGTTTCCAAAGATCAGTGTATCCGTACCAGTTAACCCACTAAATTAGCGCTTAAAATAAGAAACCAAAAACAACAAAAAGTAACATTTGAGAAAGGAAAATTATAGCTTTAAAAGAAACATGGTTCTTTCTCATTTCAAAGAAAAAGGTGTATAATTTTTTTAATGTTAAGTAGAAAGGTTATTTGGGGGAAAAATGTACATCTTAACTTTAAAAAGTGGGGGAAAAGAAACCCAAACTCTTCAATTATATACAGATCTAAGATAAGTCAAGCAGATTTTTTACAGCTAAACAGCTAAGTATTTTAGAGACAAAAACATATTAACAGGAGTTTTTAACTTCCCTATATTTATTAATTTTATTTCCTAGTTCAACAAATATCATAATGCTTTCATAATATGTTACATACAAGCAAGATCATTTTTATCATTATTTTCTCTGGAGCTATGCAAGACGTAAGGCAAAATCCTACAGAGCAAAGCAAACTCTGAAGCGATGTGTGCCACAGCATTCTCACGGCAAAATCTGTGGCTTATATTTACATTTTAAATCAGCAGTCTTCCTAACAACACCACAAAGAAAAAAATATAAGACAGGAAATAAGAGTTGGGATGGAACAGGATAAACTGCTGAAATGCTCCACCACGGCTCGGCTCTTCTCCTGAAGTCTCACCATATACGAAGGTAAAGAGAGACTGCTCATACCAATGCAGGACTAATAGAAATAGAAAAACTTACACTATGTTCCAGCATCATTTTAGATAAAAACTAAAATTTAGGAAAAACTATACTTCCACCTCAAATGATTTCAAGAAAATCATAATTTAAATAAACATTTTTTAAAATTTTATGTGTATGAGTGTTATGCCTGCATATAAGTGTACTTGTGTCATGCAGTACCTGCAGAGGACAGAAGAGGGTGTCGGATCTCCTGGAATTGAAGTTACAGAGGGTTAACTGTCTTGTGGGTGCTAGGATTTGAACCAGGTTTTCTGAAAGAGCAGTCAGTGTTCTAACAGATCAGCCAACTCTCCAGCCCTTAAATAAACATTTTAATTGTAGTAGTCTGAGAAAAACAGGTAGCTATCTTTTTTATATAATTTTATGTGTGTTTTGTCTGCGTGTATTTAAGTGCACCATGTGTGTGCAATGCTCATGGAAATCAGGAGAGGGCTCAGATCCTCTGGAACTGGAGTTATAAAAGGTTAACTGCCATGTGGTTGCTGGGAGTAGAACCTGGGTCCCCAGCCAGTGCTGTTTAAGCCATCTCTGGGCCATCTCTCCAGCCCTATAAGTATTGTAATAAATCTTTATACTCATGTATAACTTCTTAGCTACCTTTTAAATATAGAAAGATTTCTTTTACTCTCCAAAATTCCATGTAAAGGATAAAAGGAATACTCTCATCACAAATGAAGAAACAAAGGTAGAAGAAAGATTAAATGATTTGTAAAAATACATTATACCATTACCAAATTGTACAAATGCACTATAGACACATTAATAGCATATCAATGAGGTGATACTGAACCTGGTCTTATTTCGAACATTAAATAGAGTGGAAGGGGAGGCACTTGGTAAAAAACACTCAAAACTTCATGGGCTAGGGATATAGCTCAGTGTAAGGTGCTTGCCTAGCACTCATGAAATGCAAGGTTCAATCTCCTTCACCACCAAACAGAAAAAAAAGAAAACAAAAAAACAAAGTAAAACAATAACCAAAAAAAAAAACAAAAACAAAACAAATAAAACCCCACCCCTTCAGAATCCTTTTTTTGTGGATCCCTCAAGTTCTACTTTTCAACTTTTAATAGGTACACTAACTTACATAGAACACACATCATTTATATGTAACATTAAGGGTTCCAGTTAAGAAACTGATCACTAATGAGAAGCACCATGGGAAAATGTCAAAGCTCAGGATAACAACAGAGGAAAGGAGAAGACTGGGTCTTTATAATAGTTTACTCACTTATTATACTGATCTGGAAACACCAAATATTTAAAGACCTCTATTTTAAAAACTAAGGAAAGAAAGAAGGGAAATGAGAGAAGTTTAAGAGATTAAAGGGGGCTCAAAGTTTTACACAGGATTCTTTGAAACAAAAACAAAACAAACAAAAAAAAAACCACCATTTTTTCTCTTGGAACAAAAATAGTTTAGAAACTGAATCTTGTAAAGACATTTGTATGAATGCTGAGTTATGATGACACAAAGAACTGAAGTATCTGGAAACACTTTGTTGGCTGTAGTCTTCGGTGCAATCACAAAGTACTCAAAAATTCTTTGACCTAAAGAAAAAAAAATTAATAATTCCTCAATTAATTTGGTATCTAATATTTAAAGATAAGAGTACAGAACAGCTTAACACCTCAACTGTGTAAATAACCACAATGCTACAACATTTATTTTCCAGACAAAACTTTAGTAGTAAGATCAATAGCCTAAAAGATCATTATAGGGGCTATTCACTTTATATTTAAGGTTAATATAAGTCTAAAAATATAAAGATTCATGCAACACTAGTTTTATCATTTCTTTTTTTAAATACTATAGATCAATAATACAGCTTTAATACTGGCAACTAAAACAGACCAAACAAATTTGTAATTCAAACACAGAGGACCTGTAATATTTTTAAGGCGTGAATTTTAATTGCCTACTCTGTGACATTAGTATTCAGGCAGTTATGTAATTCTGGTGATCCTAGCCAACTGACCAAAACTACAATGGAAGACCCTCATTCTTCACATATTGTAGACTATACAAAAATTCTATTAAAAGATAAAGATGCAGCCTTGTAAAAATACCTTTCAAAAAGCCCACTGCAAGATTATTAATTTAAAAAACAATTCTTTGGAGGCTGGAAAGATGGCTCAGTGGTTAAGAGTACTTGCTGCTCTTACAGAGGACTAGGTTCAGTTCCTAGCACTCACTTGGCAGCTCACAACTGCCTGTAACTCTAGTCTCAGGGGATCCAATGCCGTCATCTGGCTTCTATGGACACTAGGTACACATGTGGTACACAGCCATAGATGTAGGCAAAACATTCATACACGTAAAACAAAAATAAATATTTAAAAATAAATAAAATTAGGATGTGGTTTTACAAGTTCGGTTAAACTAATGGTTTAGTACAATGGCTCATAATTTCATTTATTGTACTAGTATGTTAATTTTATCTTGTGTTTTAACATCATAAATAATCACTTAAATTTTCCAGATCTTTAAATGATGAAAACAACCATAGGCTGCAGAGGTTTTCAAATGTTGAGGTTTTCAAATTTTGAGCTATATCCATCACAAATATCAAGTAATCAAACAGTAGACATTTTGTGAATTAAAAAAAAAACAACCTAAGTTTCTCTCAAAACTAAGCAACAAAAAATTGTAATCTTCTTTAGATGTTAGGTCACTAAGTCAATTAATATGGGTACAAGGATATGTATTATACAGTTCTATTACTCCCTGTCTCACAGATAAAGAAATAAAAAGATAAAGAAGACAGCCATTTTAGCTCAGGCCACAAAGCTAGAACTGAAAATCAGAATTAGACTCTCAACAGTCTAAACTCCTCTATAGATAACTTTTCTTACTGTAATTTTCCTTTCCTTTTTGGTGATGTTCAGGATCAAGCTCAGAAGCTCAGGAATGCTTAGAAAGCACTCCACCACTGAGCTACCCTCAGCCTTCTTAACATAACTTTATACAAGCTTGTCTGTAAGAAATTTTTTCACAAGTTAGTATCCTTTTTCATACAAGACAAATAATATAGTTTCTAAGTCTACCTTTTCAACCAGACTCTCATGTTTGTCTTTGAAGTCTTCATTAACATCCAGTGTGAGGACAGGCACCTCTTGTAGATAATCAAAGTTGGTTCTGTTCAAAAAGAGAGGTGAAGAAAATCAGAAAAATCACTAAGTTAGAAACATTAAAACTAATTATTTTGGTCTAACAACCATCTGTAACTCCAGCTGCAAGGGATAGGACACCCTCTTCTGGCCATCATTTGAAAATCAAAATGTCAATCACTGCAAACTAAAGTTAAACCTGCAGTGAAACACCTGGTCACCCTTTTCTTTTGCATATAGATTTACTATGTGCATGATCATCTCAGTACAAAATATGTAAAACTAGGCATTATGATATCTGATACTTCTTAAAAGCAAAGAATATGAGAAAGAAGAAACTTTGCATTTTAAAGACCTGGAAAGCCTGGGGTGTAGCTTAGTGGTAGTGTGCTTGCTTAGCATATAAGGCAGTGGGTTCCATCCCCAACACTCCAAACAGTAAAAATAAAGGGAAAGGAAACTAAAACTAAGAGGTCATTCCAGGACTCAGAGGCTATCCAGTTGAATACCATCCAAGAGCTAACTAATGACAAAGTTTTTGCTATTAGCAACTAGGCTACTAGCTCCCAAGTCATGACCTAAGAAACAAATTTAAAATATATTCTAGTAGGTCCCCCCACCCCCTTGGCCATGTAGGACACATTCCAAGATTCCCAGTCAATGCCTGAAACTGTGGATAATACAAAGTCTATATTACAGTTTTTCTTATATACAAACATATACAAATGTAATGCTCTACCTTAAAATTGCTTTTTGTTTTTCTTTCATTAGATTGAGAATTTTCACTTTTCCATTTAAAGCACACTGTGGCCTCTCTTTATCATATAGGCTGCTAAGTATCACTCACTACACTTGCATTTCAGAGCCATTACTGATTAAAACAAGTGTGACTTGATTATAAGCAGTCCTATAATGCTTGGTCATGCTGGAAAAGGGGACAATTCACATCCTGGGTATCTCTGGGTGGGACAGGACAGAGTAGACAGCAGTGTTTCATCACACTACTCACAATGGTAGGCAATATGTTGCCAAGGGTAGTCTCAAGCTCCTGGGCTCAAACAATCTTCCTGCCCAGTCTCCCAAGAAGATAGGACTATAGGTTATACTCAGTTTAATGAACAATTTAAAATTTATGAATTATTTCTGAAATTTCACATTTAATGTTTTTGGACTAAGGCTGATAATATGAAACTGAAAGTATAGAAAGCAAAACTATAGATGACAGCATTACCTTAAAATCATTCCTGAAAGAAATTAAAATAACCTACTATTAAGAGATATCAGTTATAAAATCTTCAAAAAATGGAATCTTATTATAATGAAAATCAGAACCCTTACCTAACTTGGAAATATCAACAAATAAATAAACAAAAAATTTTACCCATTGTTGCATCCAACTTCTCAATTAAACTTTAATAAAAGCGATCACAATGACTAGCACATAGAATAAGAGCTCTTACTTCAGGGTTCTATGCAGGAGCCAGCTTTCATGTTTATAATGAAGTTTCTCTAAATATTCAAGAGGAATGCCCTGCTCTTCATTTCTTCCTCGTAAATATATTCTATTTAAACATTTCTAAAAGGAAATAATAAGAAACAAAAGATGAGCAACTATTTTTGTCTGATGCCATTAAAATTTTCTTTTCTAGTGTCTTTAGTTATGCTACCCAAAAATCCTTATTTATCACTTCTTCGAAGTTGTAGTTCATTTTTCCAATTAAGTGTTATTTTAGTCACTTGACAGTTCTAAGCTAAGCAGCACTTCCCAAAATAAATCAGCATCCATGTATGAAATATACTAATTTAAGTACGATTTTTTAAAAAGGGTGTAGGGAAATAGTTTATAAAACTTCTACTTTAAAATATTTTTATAAGACAGCTAAAAATATGCCAACCTATTAATCCTTAGTTATTGACCAAATTGATTGTGTCTGTGTTCCATTAATGTAAAAGGTAGTAGTTCCTAATGGAATGTAAGGTCTAAGTCACCACAACATAAAAGAACAAGATCTCTGATATGAGCATTTGAAATTTGCCATTTTGACTTTTTTCTGGTTCCATCTAGAACTTGTAATGCTAACTACTCTTGCCTTTACTTCTCCTTCACATCTCCTAAGCACCAGTCAAGGATTTTTTTCTCCCTGCAGTTAAGAGTTATACAATTTGGGAGTCTTCTAGATAGACCTACTGAAGGGGTACTCCAATTGCTTCACCCTGCATCCCTATTCAGCATGGAAGAAGCCAGAGCCGTCTGCGTCCTGATTCCCTATCAGCAAGTTGGGTATCCTCTTCAGGGGATGGTGTGATAAGAATGGGAGGTAGGAATTGGCTAGTCAGTTAGTGTAAAAAGACCCCAAAGAAAAGTAGCCAGTTTCTTGGCTAAAAATCAAAATGTCCTTGGGCCTCTTAGCAACATACTTTGTTCCAAAGGCCAAAAATGTCAAAAGTATTTGGGAGCTCTTATCTAATTCTTAAAAGATTTTAGGGTTACCTCTTCAGAAGGGAGAATGTTAAGAGTAACCAAAAGCCCCATTAAAAAAAAGAAAAGAAAAGAAAGTTGCTCAGGAAAAAGTGATGGGGAGACATGGGAGGAGTTGGAGGGGAGGGAGTGGGTATGGATTTGATCAAAACACCTTATATTCATGTATGAAATTCTCAGTAATTTTTTTTTAAAGTTAAAAAAAAAGAGGCTTCTTTGTGCAACAAATGGAGACTTAACAGAGAATTACACCATTGGTCAAACGCAGAGAATAATTTCTGTGAGACACTTAGCCCTAAGTGATACATTTTCAGTACAAACTCTACAAATAAGATGAATGCATCTTTCAACTCTCACCAGAGAGGTTTCTTTACGCAACAGATGGTGTTTAGCACAGAAACCCACAACCCATGTGTACAGAACAAGAGGCTGCAGAAAGCTTATCCCTGAATAGGATACCTGTTTCAAACTTCTGCCTCCCAGGGCTCAGGGATCATTGCAGAAGAGGGAGCAGAAAGATTATAAGAGCCAGAGGTGGTGGATTACCACAAAGAAACAGAGTTTTCCAGATGCTGGTCAGTTACTTATAAGAATTCACACCAATGGTGACAGCATGCACAAGTCCCATGCAAGTTCAAACCAGACAGAATCTCAGCATGGTGGTACATGCCTTTAATCCCAGCATTTTGGAGGAGGCAGAGGCAGGCAGATCGAGTTCAAGGCCAGCCTGGTCTACATCGTGAGTTACAGGCCAGCTGGGGCTAGAAGGTGACCCTGTCTCAAAAAGAATTAATGCCCCTAGAAAAAAGCCTTCAGAGTTACCTGACCTTTCAATCCTTCTGCCACATGAGGCCTCAGCATGCATGCTTATGCAAGGATGCAGCAATGAGGGGCCACCTTGGAAGCAAAAAGTAAACCCTTACCAGAAACCAAATCTGTTGGTGTCTTGAACTCAAGACTACTCAACATCTAGAACCCAAGAAATAAAAGAAATAAAATTTGTCACTTACAAATTTCCCAGGCTAAGTATTGTTACAAGAATGGACTACCGGTCTATCACTGTACTCTATTTTGCAACACTTAAAATAAAAAGAAATAAGGAGTCACTTGGCCACCAGTCAAAGACCACAAGACCAAAGACAGAATGTAAGCGCTAACAGCCCCCTGCCTACGGTGTAATCTGTGGCAACTTACTGACTTCCTTAGCCCTGGCTTTCTCTACCATCTGAGCCTCAGTGTACAGTTTTGCCAATAAAAGGAAATTGCATCTACAAAAAAAAAAAGAACACCATGATGTTTTTAAAAACTACCCTATATTGGCATTATCAAATACAGTGTGGCCACTAGCCATCTATGGCTTGCAGCACCTGAAGCATGGCTAGTGTGGTGACCAAGGAACTGAATTTCCAAGCCTTATATAATTTTAATAACCATAAATTTAAATAGCAACATTAGTATGGCTCTAGATCATTTTCCCCTAAAAATCCATATAAGCAAAATTTAATATAACTTGCGGGGACGCGTTAAACACTTAGCTACATAAAATACCACCCTCTGGTCAGTAGTGAAGTACTGTCTAGCAAGTACAAGATCCTGAGTTCAATGTCTACTACTACAAAAAGAAAAAAGAATCTAAAACCTATATAATACTCATGAGTCAATAGCAGCACATAAACTGTGCTACAAAGTCCATTATAAATTCATTTTTTCTTTTCTTAATATTTTATTTTTTTATGTGTATGAGTCAAATTCCTGCATGTATATAAATGCACCTGTGTTGTGCAGTGCCTGCAGAGGTCAGAACAGGGCCTCAGCTCCCCTGGAACTGGAGTTACAGATGGTTATTAGTCGCCATGTGGGTGCTGGGAATTGAATCCAGTCCTCTGCAAGAGTAGCCAGCACTCTTAACCGTTGAGCCATCTCTCCAGCTCCTTTTCTTTTCTTTATTTTATTTTATTTTTGTTTTTGAGACAGGGTCTCACTATGTAGTCCTGGATGGCCTGGTATTCTCTATGCAGACCAGGCTGTCCTCAAACTCTGAGATTACTACCACTGTCTCTCAAATACAGAATTAAAATGTGTACACCACCATTCCAAGCTACCAATTCTTTTTTCAATAATCTTTAATCAAAGGTATCATAAATGAGGGACTAGCAATATGGCTCAGTTGGTAAAGCACTTACCACAAAACATAAGGACCTTCAATAACCCAGCACTGGGACACAGGGGCACCTAAAAACAGGCGAATCCCTAGGCTTGCTGGCCAGCCAGTCTAAGCCTTCAGTGAGCCCTAAGATCAGTGAGACCTTGTCTCAAAAATTAAAGTAGAGGGGGGCTGGGGAGATGACTTAGTGGGTAAAGTACTTCTCAGCAAGCATGAGGACCCGAGTTCAGATTCTCCAGTACCCATGTAAAAGGTGGTCATGGCAGTGAGAACCTGAATCCCCAACACTGGGGAGGTAGCAGGGAGAAAATGGATCCTAGGGGCTTGCTGGCCAGTCAATCTAGACGAAAAAATGAGCTTCAGATTTAGTGAGAAACTTTTCTCAGAAAGTAAGCGGAGATGAAAAAGACACCCAATGTCAACCCCTGGCCCTCCACACTTACACAGGTACATGCACCATCATGCACATGCATGTACCAAACATATGCATGCTCACACACACACACACATACAGGAAGAAAGAGGAAGCCATCCAACCTGTTTTCCACATGCACCCACATACACATATGAACACAAAAATAGACATATACCAGATACATACGTGACACACACAAAGATATCATAAATGATACTGACTATAAATTTCTGTTAGTCTTTGTTTTAAATAGGGTCTCGCTGTGAAGCTCAGACTGTCTTCAAATGCTCAACCTTCTTTCCTTAACATGTGGTGTACCTGAACTATAAGGTCACATCACCACAACTAGTTTGTGTTAGCCTTTAAAGTACTCACTATGAACACTTCTACCATAAAATGACTACTATTCTTTAAGTTATTTTTGAAGTTTCTTTTTGTTTTATTGTATGTTTTGCTTTGTTTTTCAATTTAATTTTTTTTTATTTTAATTCTTTGAGTTCATACAACATACTTTGGTCATATCCCTCCCAAATTCTTCCCAAATCGACCCCCGTCTAACTACCCACCGACCTTTGTGATTTTTTTTATCCACCATTGAGCCAATTTGTGTTGCCCAGATATTTTTCAAACATGCCAAACTATGTTATTTTTATAAAATATATATGTTGAAATTCTAAAAGCATCCATAAGAATGAGTACTTCCAGGTGTGGTGGTATACACCTTTCATCCCAACGGTGGAGAGGCAGAGGCAGGAAGATCTCTGTGAGTTCAAAGCCAGCCTAGACTACACAGTGAATTCAGGATTACACAGTGAGACCCTATCTCAAAAATAAATGAAACACGAAAAAATCCAATTAAAAGCCAGGAGTGGTAGTGCGCACCTTTAAGCCCAGCACTTGGGAGGCAGAGGCAGGTGGATCTCTATGCCGGGACTACATAGTAAGCTCCAAGCCAGATGGAATACAAGGAGATCCTGTCTCAAAAAGATTAAAAAAAAAAAAAAAAAAAAAAAAAGACCAAGCTGCCAATAGTCACTCCTTTAAGTGTCATCATTCCTTTATGTTTTATTTTCTTTTGGTCTCCTACAGGCCAGACTGACCTTGAACTTACTATATAATTGAGGCAGACTTTGAACTCCTGAGTCTCCACCTCTTCAAAACTGGGATTACAGGCATATACCACCATGTCCAGCTCTTTTGTTACTTGACATTAGAAGATAAGCAAAATCATCCATTGATGAAAGAAATCAGAAACCTGGTTCCTTTGAAAGTTCAGCTTCAATAGTTAACAGTATTCTAGGGGCTGGAGAGATGGCTAAGTGATTAAGAGCAATGGCTGATCTTTCAGAGGAGCGGGGTTTGGTTCACTCGTAACTGCAGTTTCAGAAGATCTGATGCCTTCTTCTGACCTCTGTGGGCATTGCATGAGACACAGGTGCACTTCCATTACATACATGCAGGCAATACTAATACAGATAAGTTTTAAAAACTAGTAACAGTATTCTAAATGATTTTTGG